TTTTATATTAAGTTATCTAATGATATCGGTACCACCGAACGGCATTCAATTGTATGAATATGCAGTCTCAAACTTCTTAACCTTGGAATTTATGGTACGATGGCAGGTTTGACTAAGAGAAAATTCCTAGAAATGTAAATCAGTAAGACAATTTAATATTAATGCCAAAGGATAGAAGCTGTTTATAAAATAGTGGTACACCACTTGCCGTCTCCATTTCACTTAACCATGGAGAAAATTTTCTATCATTTCCTTCAGGGACTCTTCTTGCTGTATTTTGTTTCAGCTTCCTCAGCCATGACCACAACCAATATTACCACTGATCAAGATGCTCTTCTTGCGTTGAGAGCTCACATCACTTCACAGGACCCTCATCAAATCCTGTTAAAAAACTGGTCTGTTTCTTCCCCTGTATGTCAGTGGGTGGGAGTCACTTGCGGCTCTCGTCACCGTCGAGTAATTGCCTTGGATCTTTCCAATATGAGTCTTAGCGGCATCATACCATCACAGCTGGGAAATATGTCATTTCTGGTTTCCCTTAACCTGAGCAGAAATAATTTCCATGGAGAACTGCCGCATGAATTTGCTCGGTTACGCCGGTTGAGAGTGCTTGATTTAGATGTCAACAATCTCAGTGGAGAGTTTCCCGAGTGGTTTGGTTCCTTTCATCAACTTCGACTGTTGTCTCTGAATAACAACAGTTTCACTGGCTTCATCTCAACTTCCTTGGCTAACGTTTCTGCGCTAGAAAAGTTAAGTCTGTCATTCAATTACTATATCCACGGAAATATTCCAATAGAGATTTTCAATATTTCCTCGCTGGAGTTGATTTTCCTCCAGGGTAATAGCTTATCTGGTAGCGTTCCAGATGATATGTGTCGCCATCTTCAGAGACTCAAGTTGATTGACCTGTCATGGAACAAGTTAAATGGTCAAATACTATCAAGCATATATAACTGTTCACGACTTCAAGTGCTGCACCTTTCTGCGAATTACTTCACTGGATTCATACCAAGAGGAATTGGCACTTTGAAGGCACTTGAGCAGCTGTATCTAAGCGGGAACAGTTTAGAAGGTAACATCCTATTTCTGCATGAACAAAATAACATGAATTCCCCCCTCCCTTCCGGGGGGACCAAAAATTGCAAAACATTAGTTTAACTATGCTTTTTTTTCCTATACTTTTTCTTTTCAGGTGAAATCTCAAAAGAGATGGGTAATTTAACTATGCTGAAAACATTTGCCGTTAGTTCCAACAGCATAACAGGTAGACTAGCCAACCATTGCCACAATTTTAGAAGCATTCGGAGATCTTCATATAGCTATAACTCTTTTGTGCTAATGATGGTAACACAATTTGGTAGGTGCAATACCCCAAGAGATCAGCAAGCTTTGCAATTTGGAACAACTCGACTTGGGGTCAAATAAGTTAACTGGTTTCATTCCGATGCAGATCTTTAATCTGTCACAGATGAGAGTTTTCATTCTTTCAGCAAACCAACTTTCAGGCAATCTTCCGTCAAGGATGGTTAATGAGCTTCCAAATTTAGAGCGGCTTTATCTCGCCCAGAATAACTTTGGGGGACCAATACCTGACTCAATCTCAAATTGTACTAAATTGAACTTAATAGTATTTACTAATAACAACTTCGCAGGTTCTATTCCCAATTCCTTTGGGGATCTAAGACTCCTCGAAATTCTATCTATAAGTGGCAACAATTTAATGAGTGACTACTCTTCATCCAATACACAGTTGGGCTGGATCAATTCCTTGGCAAATTGCAAGCATTTGAGACTACTCGGAGTGGATGACAATCCACTTAATGGCTTTCTTCCAAATTCTATTGGCAATCTTTCAACTTCGCTTGAAAAAATGTATACATACAAATGCAACATACGGGGCAGCATTCCAGATGAAATTGGCAATTTGAGTGGCCTGACCATTTTAAGTCTGTACAGTAATAAGTTAAGCGGGATGCTGCCAATTACCATGAAAAATTTGGAAAAGCTTCAAGGGTTAGATCTTCACGACAACAAGATGAGCAAAACCTCCCTTGATTATCTATGCGTTTGGCAAAACTTGGCCGTAATACATTTGGGAGAAAATCAAATTTCAGGATCTATTCCAGAGTGCATAGGAAATGTTACTTCTTTGAGATATCTTTACCTAGGTTCCAACCTGTTAAACTCTAGTCTGCCTACCACTATATGGAACCTAAAAGATTTGTTGGTGCTTAACCTCTCCTCAAACTCACTGCGTGGAAGTTTACCTCCTGAGATTAGGAACTTAAAGGCAGCAATTTCTATTGATTTGTCTATCAATGAGATTTCAGGTGGTATTCCTAGCTCCATCGGAGATATGGTGAACTTGCAGAACCTTTTATTGGCATACAACAGATTGGAAGGATCAATCCCAGTGTCAATTGGCACGACTTTGAGCTTGGAATGGTTGGATCTTTCACACAATCATCTCACAGGTACGATTCCAATGTCACTAGAGAACCTTCGGTCTCTTGTTTACTTCAATGCCTCTTACAACAAGTTAAGAGGTGAAATACCATCCAAGGGCCCTTTTTCAAACTTCACTGGAGAATCCTTCATTTCAAATGAAGCACTTTGTGGAGCACCTAGGTTCCACGTTCCCTTATGCCCGGGTATTTCAGGTGGTCGATTGAGGACCAAAAAGTTGCGTCGAACTATATCTATTGTCTTTGGAGCATTTATATCAGTTGCAGTTGCCATGTTCCTGGGATTCGTCTATCTAAGATGTTCAAAGAAAGAACAAGCTCCTAGTGAAGGTGTTCTACCGTCAGCAGCAACACAGGAAAGAATCTCGTATTACAAACTGCTACAAGCAACTGACGGGTATAATGAGAGCAATCTGTTGGGCACAGGAAGTTTTGGATCAGTTTATAAAGGCACCCTTGATGATGGGAGGATTGTTGCAGTTAAAGTGTTTAAAATTCAACAAGAAGGAGCCTTCAATAGTTTCGATGCAGAATGTGAAGTATTGCGTAGCCTTCGTCATCGAAATCTGACGAAAGTCATTAGCAGCTGCTCAAACGAAGACTTCAAAGCATTGGTGCTTGAGTTTATGCCTAATGGAAGTCTTGAGAAATGGTTGTCTTCCCAAAACCATTTTCTTGAAATCAAGCAGAGATTAGACATATTGATTGATGTGGCATGTGCACTGCAATATCTGCACTACGGTCTTTCGACACCAGTGGTTCATTGTGATGTGAAGCCCGGTAATGTCCTACTTGATCAAGATATGGTTGCCCATGTGAGTGATTTTGGTGTTGCAAAGTTGCTGGGGCATGAGGACAGCTTTACATACACCAAAACATTAGCCACACTTGGCTATCTTGCTCCAGGTATAGCTTCTTCTTGGTACAGCTACTCTGCTTTTTTGCCTTGCAGTTAATCTTGGAAATCCCAAATTCCAAATCATTGGATTACTTTTTTTTTTCTTGTAGAGTATGGATTGGAAGGACTAATATCAACAAAATGCGATGTCTACAGTTTTGGAATCATGATTATGGAAGTCTTTACAAGAAAAAGTCCCAGTGACGAAATGTTTGGCGAAAATTTGACCCTGCAGAGTTGGGTGAGTGATTCTATGCCGGATGGACTGGCTCGTGTTGTAGATGCTAATCTGCTGAGGCCTAATCATGAATACTTCGATGAAAAGTTGGACTGCATTTCATCAATCATGAAAGTGGCTGTGAATTGCACAAAGGAATCTCCAAGGGAAAATTAATTATGGGAAAATTATTTAATTATTAAATAGAATGCAATTTTGCGACATAGAGTACATATGGGAAAATTTTGATAATTAGGTTTGTTGAGCATTATAAATAAAAATTTAAAACTAACGATGGATGCAAAGGATGGTATAAATTGATAACTTAGTTTGCAAAAATGAATTTAAATGAATTTACAAAAGAATTAAAATAAATGGGTAATTGGGTTACCCAATTCATTTTTTGACTTACCCATTTATACCCATCTAATTAAATGAGTATAAATGGGTTGACTCACTTTTACCCATTACCCATTTTACTCAACCTAAATCCGCCCAAATCACCCATTTTGACACCTCTACCCGTAGCGTTGCTGTCATGCTATGTGTTAGCCCAAAATTCACTATAAAACTAGCTTTCCATCTTCCCCAATTGTCTCTGAGTATCATCATACTTCCCCAGCCGCAGATTAGTTGAACATGAACCAAAGTCAATTTGACAAGGAGAGGATCATGAATGTAGTTAGTTTTTGGGCTTCCTTACTAGGGTGAACAAAAGAATTACTAGAGAAACATGAGACTAAAAGGTCTCATTTTAACCAAGAATAAGATGCCAATCACTTGGCTAATTTTTTTTTTTTTTAACTTTTAGCAGAGCGAAAAGGAAAATTACCCACTACCTTTTCATTTTTTGCTCGTGAGTTGACATGATGAGATAATGTGACACAAATCTAGTGCCGTCAAAAAAACTTTTCTTGACACGGTGTCGTTTGCCCTCACGAATCATTAGTGTCAATCATGACCAATTCATTTCGAATTACCCAAACTACAAGCAACTAATTGGATATGGCCCAATGACTACTATTTCTGAGTTTAATTCGGTGCCTCATTTACACCAAACTAATTAAACGCAACTAGAAATTTGGAATAGTTCCACACTGTCATAATATTAGGAGGATTTTACATTCCAGTTGATTTTATTAGCCACAGTAACCTGTAGTTTCCTTTAATCTATTAAATTGATAACAGATTTTAATCTTCCTCATTATTTTTTTTTATTTTTCTTTTTTTGGGACCTACTTTGTGTATAATCTGATTTTGGAGGATAAACATTTAGCTACGATCAAAATATCTACGCTCTTAAGTTAATCTTGTATACACTGTCCGTGTGTGTATACGAGAATAATCCCAAACTCTTTTGCTGTTAAACAAAATGTCTGCTTTGAATAACTCTAGTATGGTAAGCAGAGTAAAAGTATATGCAAACTGATAACCAAAATCCCTTGATTCATTAGTGAAGTACGTAAGTCACTTCCACATGATATCCATAATCTGAGAAGTTCTTATTCATACACTTATTTATAAGATAAGATAGAAGTGCATACACAGCTACAGGATTCCGTAGCAAATTAAACAAACTTGCGCCTTCAAGAAGTCATGGCGAAGTAGTTCCGGCAACAGGTACAAGGGGTCCCCCAGGTGTGGAACAGACGCAGGGGCAGCATTTGTTCGGGGAGGGCGGTGGTGCGCAACAAACGCAGGCAGGGCAGATTGGGGGTCGCGCCAGAAGTTCTGCATGCAAAACCAAATTATTATACAGAAACGGATGATGAAACAAGTCAAATTATTTTGTGCTTGAACAATTATTGTAACATATTGACAAAGTTTTTGTTCCAGTAGTTCTTAATCAGGCATTTCATACCTCGGGTTGGTCTCGCTGCCTCAGATGGCAACATCAGCGTTGGAATGAGAACAATGGCTAAGACAACAAGGATGGCCGCAGCAGCCCTCGGAGAAGAAGAAATTGAAGCCATTATTGTTGAACGCAACTATCTCGCTAAAAGCTTTGATTTGGTACATTTAGTCGCCTAGCTCTCGAGGCATATTTATAGGGTTTGGGCACCCTAAAATGATGATGCACTTACGTACTTCGAATACTTTTCCCTTTTTTTTTTCCTTCTAACTACAATAATTTATGCACTCGTCTTCAAACTTTTGTAATTGTCCAAAATCAAAATACGTAATTGGAAGTACTAGTGTTGAATTTTCGTTCATTTCGTTCAAACGCTTAGGGTCTTAATTGCTCTACTCCTATGCAATCCCTTGACAAAGACTCAACATCGTTGTTTGACAAAGGCTTCTCTCTTTTGATAATAAAAAAGTTTGGATGGATTCGATTCCAATCACCATCACGAGTCAAGACATACTTCTAAAATAATAAGTTGTTTATAAAAGTTCTTATAAAACGCCCCTGAAATTGCAAAGGGTTATGATAGGAAGAAGATGATATGACCTAACAAATTTTCCTAGGGATATCATATCATAGTTTGAGATCTTAACGCAATTAAATTTGTCTTTTGGTCATGAGAAGAAGTAGAAATCACTCTAAATCATGATAAATTTCTTGTACGCTATCTCTTGGTTAATAGAGCTGAGTTTGATCTTAGTTTTTCGTCAATCTGCATGTGTTTCCCTTTTTTCTTCATTCATCAACATTTTCATGAAGATTCTTCCCCTCCTGTCACTGCCATGGCCGGCCTAATTATTTGGATAGTGTCTACGGACATTATTATTGACTTGCTTGTAAGTAAATACTTTTATTAACCATTTTTTCGCATGCACTCTGCCGGGTCAAATCGGACGTTTGCATTTTCTGGTATGACAAAGAAATTATCCTCATATCAGTATTCCACACCCCCCCCCCCTTCCTCTTTTGTATACGTATATTGCTTATGCTTTAGAGCGTGCATAATTGAGGCAAAAGTGGTGCGTCAAACAGCAAGATAAAAAGAAAAAGAGGAAAGAAAGAAGAAAACTAAAAAAAAAAAAAAATGAATATATTGAAGGCAAATGTCTTCATCTTCCTACTAGAGGAGGTGTTTAAGAATCAGCGAGATGATCTCAGCTAGCAAAGAATCTCTGGGCAACTTAGCAGGAAAGGCCATATATTTCTGCCATCCGTTCCAAGTCAAATTATTAGGTTTTCCTGGAACTTCAGCCAGGGACTAACTTCTTGGGACCAATTGGAATATAACATAAGGTGATTCATTACTTGACGCGTTTCACTTGAATTTCATTTATTTTGTTTCTCTAATAAAGTCTCTCCTAAGTTTTTATAGTGAGAGTTTATTATTTTTCTTAGGGATTTATAGTGAGAATTCTTCTGGGTATTCTTGTGGAGATTTTTATGTTATATATTTGTTTTACAGTTAGATCTGAATTTATTTTAATTCTAATTGTCAGGTCTGATATATTTTTGGATCATATATTTATTTTGACATATTTCATCATCATTATTGGAGTTTAAAGCTGTTAATTAGCGGATCTGGTGATTGCAACATATACAGAAAGGAGTTGTAATGATTTATCTTAAAACTATTTTAAAATTTCTTGTATTTTTCAAATCTGTTCATAGTTTTTCATATCTTTTGTATGTTTTATATTGCATATTTGTAATTTCAAGTGTATGTTTAATCTACCATTAGAGCAATTACATAAATCAAATCGTGCTGGATGGTTTTCAACAATCCGTTAATGAAACTAGCTTTTTATTAAAAAAAAAAAACAAATTCAATTGGGTTAAGAAAGTTTAAGGATATTGTACTTTTGAATTTCTCTCAATTTCACACACGCAGTATAAGGAATTAAATTGGAGCTAGTATCTGCAATTGAAATCAGTCTGTTCGACAACAAGCAAAAGAAAAATTATTTCCAAAATATCGTTTGAATTTAATGAATAACTAGTGCAGAAATAGTTTTCAATGACAAGATGGAAATAACAAATTGCCTAATTATAGTCAAGGGGCACAACTCAATTTTATTAGCACTTTTCCTTCTTTGAACGAGAGACTTATTTTTCAAAACGAAAACGCTTTTTATTAAATAATCTGAAGATGGCTACACGATGGGAGGTGAAGTAAAGCTTGCCTACTGAACAAGCAAAGCTCTTAATCAAATTAATTCCTAAAGGAATGATATCTGCTGTGATTCCAAAAAAAAAAAAAAAAAACATCTATATATTAAGCATCTCTAATTTAGAAATCGAATGAATTATTTACGTACATGTCAAAAACATTACAATTTGTGACTTATCAATAAAGCATACCAATTCTTAAGTCCTACCCCTCCTTTGTTGAAAAAAATTGAGAAAAAAGGATAGAGAGGGAGGGAAAAGCCAGAAATGAGTACTAATATACAAAGACAAGCAAACCCTTCGGCAAATTTTCGAGTAATTACTGCCAAAAATAAATAAATAAATAAATAACTCTTGAATAATTATTAGTTGACCTAACGTGAGTACATGACTAGCTAGCTTTTTTGTTAGTATCACAACCAAATAAGTTTTTTTTTTTCTTTTGCTTTTTATTACCACCAAATAAGTTGCCAAGTTAACTGATGCACTGTTTCTTAATTGGCACTACCAAATTCATCAAGGGTTGCATGTGAACTTACCAAAGCTATATTTGAATACTGTGTCTTTATTCAAGAGAGATTCTAAAATGTTAGGATGAAGAAAAGAAGAAAGAGGGAGCTTGAAATTGAAACTGGGCGTTTCACAATTAACATTACTGAATTAAGTTATTCCGTTGCTGAGCTTAAAGGTTGGATGGAATCCACAGATATATATATATATATATGGGACAAGGGGCACAAACGGTTGCACTCTGTCGGTTGTATGCATTTTTCACTGTGCGTAACTTTGATTGCATACGGTGTAACTTTCTTTGCACACGACGTAACTCTAGAACAAATTTTTGTGGGTCCCACACACGGCGTGAAAATCGAATTACAAGATGTGATCTGAGCCGCACAAAATTTTTTGGCCAAATCATGGCCGTCAACTGCCAGAGACAACCGTTCCTGCCCCATTTCCATATATACTAGGTGGTAACACCGCGCTGTGCGCGGTGGTATACATGCCCAATTAACGTTTAGCTAGTAATATTGGCGAGAATGAAAATTAGCGGTAGAAAATGGAGCTATATGACTTGTGGGAGACTTTTTTGTTCCAAAAAAATCTTCACCGGCTCTCTGTACTTCCAGTGCAGGTGCATATTTTCAATGGTACCATAAAAAATGCCTCTCCTTCCTAAAAACCAGAACATGTTAATTCCTAGCTTTCATCTGTTACCTATTAATGATACACAAACAAAAGAACTGGACAAAATAGCAGTGCAGAATTGATATGAAAAGAAAACGTTGGTGACTTTAGATCGCATGGTCCCACCACATGGCTACAGCAGATAGATTTCCTAATAAGTAAAGCTCAAGAAATAGCAATAGTTACCTAGAAACAGATATGGTTTCATACTCAGACCCATTTTCCGAAATAAAAACCTTTCCTCATCATTTATAGTTTCCAAGTCAGTGGGTTGTTCAGCAGGTTCAAAATTTTCTTGCACTTTCAATAAAGCCTTCTCGGCCTTCGTTATCTTCCCTTTTGCCTGCAAATAGCAGAAAGTTTATATAGAGCCAAATATTCACAATGGGCTAAAAGTAGTGCCTGCATTTTCCAAAAAAAAAGACTCATCTTAATATATTGCCACTTACAGTAGCTAGCTTGTTCTCAAGAGATTTAACCAAAGCAGCATGCTTTGCTACAGCTGAATCTCTCATCATCTTCTCTAAATCTTCACCAGTTGCCTGGTTGTTCCAGCGCAAGGTTGCTGCCTTTGTCTCGGAAAGTGTTCTGGCAACTAAAGGCCGTTCAGCAACTTCGACATTTGACGCAATCAGGGCTAATGCTCTCTGACGCGCTATTTCTTCCTCATCCTGTTGGAGAACAGTTTCTCTCTCTCTTTTTCCACCAATGCTTGTGTTAACACCAGATGGCAACAAATCATTTCCCCTGTAAAATACGATATATTCCTTGTTTCTTGACAATAGTGTACCTCCAGTTAATACCTAAGCGAATCAAATCAGAATGTTGTTAGCAAGAAAGATGTACATCAACCAACGACATCACATTCCTTACAAGAAAAGAAAAAGAAAGTAAACTACTGTTTCTCAAATGATTAGCATGACTGGAACAAATTCTTTTAAGAGCACCAAGCAAAAAAGAAGACTTGCTCAAAAGCTGATTATTTAAACACTGAAATGCAAATACAAATAAAAGAAAACTAACAGACAGTTCATGGTGCTTTCACTCATTTTCAGGTTCAACAATTTGTCCATGCGTTTAATGTGACTGGAGATTCAATGAATCAGATTAGAAATTAAAAATGCGAGCAAGCAAATGTTCACACTCTTCAACATACTCATAAGTGAAAATATTCGTTAACTCATATATATATATGTATGTATGTATGTATGTAGGGATTCAGATGTCCAACCTTGAGTTCTTCTGCCATTCTTTCATTGCAAGTATTCTGTACACCACGTTTGATGGCTATCTTTGCAATAGCACACTTTTCCCACAACTTTAACATTGCCAATGCCAGAACTTGCAGTTGTCTGTTTCTTCCTAGATATTTGTAAAAACATACTCCATAGATATGTACTCAGTATCTGAAACAAAGAGAAAGCACAAATGAGTTGGCACACACCTAGGGCAAAATGTGGAGGCAATACTCTGGCACTGCTACGGAAAAATGTCATTTCTTTCTCACAAAAACTATGTCTTATCCCATGAAGTAGAAGCCTAAATGGGGTCTATATCCAGGAACAACGTCAGGAAGCAAGTCAGCATCAACAGGCATTGGTTCACGCCCTGACCAATCTTTGAACCGCGGACCAAGTCCGTCCAGCAGTAGGTTGAGCTCACTTAGATCCTTGAGTTCTTTGACTGATAGGTTTTTCGAATAAGATTTAGCAGTCGATGGTTCAGCACAGCATGAGGCACCGATGCTTCGAGCAAAATTATTCACCTGAACTCCTGAAGATTCAAATTCCTTTTTCCTTATCTAGGATACGACCATACACAATCTAATTTGTATCCCATGCCTCTGTACAATACCACTGTACTGCCTCATCTCCAAATAACCCAAACCTCCAGTTCTACTCTGACAGAAGGCATAGTACACTATATATAAGCATACAATAGGCTTGATTGCATACAAATCTGAAGTAATATTCATTCGAACCAGTCGTAATGGTAAAGCAAATTTATGAAATTATTGCAAATGAGGATGTTATAACCATAGAATAGGATAACGTAAAGCTAACTTCAACCAGCATAAAAGAAAGACATCAACGCTAGCAGTTAACTGATACAAGGAAGACTGACATCATGTATTTGCAGTAAAAGCTAACATTCATAACTGACTATGAAGAAAAACTAAACTCTAGAATGTGGTGTGTCCACCTCATATTCATGGCAGTAGGACCTTAAAATTTCAGCTTCACCACCTCATCCAGCTTCCACTTCTCATGAATAGAGTCCACCAACGCCTGCGTTACACCGGCTGGCCCAACCTTTATTCTCTCTACCATCCTTAAAGCCAAATTCCTAAGCCTCTTCAATTCAGGCTCAGGTATTACTTTCTCTGCCACCTCAGTGCTACTTTTTCTTAATCCTTTCCCTTCATGATATTGTTGATCACTCTCACTCTCCCACGGCAACCTCACTGATTCACTAGTATCCCCTGAATCGTTCACATAATTCTGAAAAGTCCCCAACCCATTATTGCTATGTTCAGCACCCTTGTCTATCCCATTAAACAAAAACTCACCTGTCTGTGACAGCTCATTCGGAGTGTCATCCTTCTTGGCACCATTTTCTCCAATTTCCTCATCAAGTTTAAGCTTTTCCTCCACTTTCTTTACATCTTGAAATACACTAAAGCTGGTAGCATAATTTTCAGAATGCTCATTAAAGCCATTTCAGAAGTAACCGGTAACAATAACAATAAGAACAAAAGAAACATAACAGATGAAAGCAAATAAAAAGAAAATTACCTGTAGCAATAGACAGGTGGAACCTGAAGAACAAGGCAGAGGAACCAGCTGAAATCGACCTGCATAAGTAAGAAGAGGGGAAAGCTTTTTAAAAAAATATGGGGAAGAAATCGCACGTGAGCTGAGAAACAGGTGCATAAAGTTGCAAGCAACAAAAAGTAATTTATGGCAAAAGAAATCAAGGGAAGAGTGTAACTGCAGCATACAAAGGCATACGGGAAAAATTTGAGGAACCAAAAAGGGAACACATACTGGTTTAGGAAAAATTCAGAGAGAGGAGGTCGATGCAGAGCAAAATTTTGGAGGGGGGGGCTAATGGAGAACCATCGCGGGGGAAAGAAAAATGCAAAAGACAAACCGGAGAGCAGAGGGCGGAGAAGAGCAGGAAAGAAGCAGGAGAGGTTACCCGGTGCAGCGGCAAGGGCAAGGCGAGGTGAGAAGCAAAAGCAGCAAAACAGGAAGGGAAGAGAAAATGCTTGATTGTGGGGAGAGGTGAGCAGAAGCGAGAACATGGGCCATCATGGCAGCAACCTAATCGGTTAGGAGGCAAGAGGAGAGAGCAAGTGAAGGTGGCGTGTAAGGGGTGGAGGGGGAACAGGGATTGCTGAGGGGAAGGGAGCTGTAGGGTGGGGGAGAAAGAGGGGGGAAAAAATGCGTGGGCAAGGCAATGTAGCAGGAAAATGGAGGAGAAGGCAACATGCCAAAATAAATTCGGCGGAGAAAGGACGCGTTCAAGAAGATAATTTTATGAGTGGAAACAAAAGCAGTTGGTGGCAGAGGAGGTGGACGACCGAGCAGAGAGGGGCCCAACGGCCCGAAGCTTAAGGATGCAGGAAACAACAGTGCAGGCAAACAGGACCAAAGGAAAAAGAAAGATGGGTCTTCCAAACGGGGAAAGTAAATAGTACGGTGTGAAGGGGAGAAAGCTCAGGATGCGTAGGTAACACAGCAGCAGAGAGCAGAAGGAAAATGAGTGCAGGAAGAAGAGTGAAGAAGGAGGGAAAGCTTCAAGTGGGTGGAGCCGGTACAGAGGAGACTGTCAACCAACCGCCTGCAAAGCAGAGGAAAACAGTGCCTGCGAAAGAGACAGGAGCACGACCATGCAAGGAGAAAGGCTGGGGCGCAACGAGAACACTCGGCAACCAATGCATTCCGCCAACGTCACCATCAAACCAATCCGAAGCCGCCACGCGGAGGACGACCACGTCCGACGTGGACACCGGGCTTCCGCCCTTAGTCTATATGGTTAATGACTCATCTCAATGACTGGTCATGAGCAAGGATGTCAAACCCAAGTAATTTGTGTTAGTGCCCATTTCATTTCCCCGTAAGGGCTTGCATCCTTAGCCATAACGTATCAGGTTTCAATGGAAATGGAAACAACAACGTTAAAAGATTTTTTCCATAAGGGATTCAATCCAAGTCAAACAAGATTAGTCACATATCGTAAAATGAATGCGAATATCGGTGGTTTATTAAAAAAATAATATATTATTCTTAATATAATACTACAGTAGATGCTATTCATATTCATTTCCGGAACAATGTTACCGTAACACCTTGATGAAATACTCTAGTTATCTAGTAGTAGAACAGTAGTCCACCCCTAAACTTGGCCCATTTTGTTTTCTTCGACCAAAGCTCAAGATGTTCCCAAGCCCAGCCAAATCTTCTTTCTATTTGGGTGTGCGTGTGTTTATATTTTCCTTTTCGTAAGACCCAATATGTACACAGGTCCAATATCATTTTTTTTTTCTGGCAATCATAACATTTGTATAACCTAATCTATCTTAGGAAGGAAGCTTAAAGAGGCTGTATTAAGAATTAGCAGGTATACATAGGGGTGGCAATGCCACCCCCCCGCCCCGTTGCCTATTAATTCCCCCCGCCCCCGCCCAGTTTCCCCTGCGGGAGCACTCGTGGGGTTAAAAAAAATTTATTATATAATTTCATTATAATTAAATTTGAACGAATAATCAAGTACTAAAATATCAACATATCACCAAATTATTATTCATTATAACTTCACAATTGAAACTCATAAAAATAATTAAACAAAAGTTATTTGAATACAATCTAATATGATAAAACAAATATAACTAAAATAATCAAGTTTTTACTTTTGATACAAATACAATCACTAAATTATTATTGTGTTTTTTTAGAAAAAAGTGTTATTGTATTAAGTGTAGTTAGGAATTTAATATAAATGTATTAATAAATTTAGTATAAATAATTAATAATTTTTATTAATAAACATGTATAATTAGTAGTATAATTGATAATATCATTATATATATAATTATGCACACACACATATATACATATATATATATATATATATATATATATATATATATATATATATATATATATATCTTTTGTCCCAAACGGGTGGCGGGACAGAGGAGTATACCCTCACCCCCGCCCCTTTTCTAAACGGGGGGAAAAAATTCCCCCCACCCCAATAGACCCCTGCAGGGCGGGTGTCCGCGAGCACCCGCACCCGTTGCCATCCCTAAGCATACAGATTTGATTAGATCAAAAGAGTGTTATGACACCTCTTTTAAATTTTTTTCACTGAGATTCAAGCCTGACCTACGGTCCCATAGAGGAATTAGTCTCTTTTTTATGGCAGATCTTAGTGGTTCAGGCCCAATGTCATGTTCGTTTGTCCCTTTTTCCATTTTTTTCCCCTTCCTGCATGTGGGATTTAAATACCAGTGACTAGTCTCTTATGAATCAGGAAAACAACAATACTAAAAAGTTTCATTACTTGCCCCTCCTGGGCAGCTCGTCTGGCAGCGCACGCCTCCTTAGGAGCGCTTGCCAGGGGTTCGAGTCGTGCAGGGTTACCGTGCTTGGGGGATGGGGCCTCTCCTCTCGGGCCGCTGGGGATTAGTCGGGCCGCCTTCGGGTCTTGACCCGGACACCCCAGTGTCGACAAAAAAAAAAAAAAAAAAAACTCAGAGGGCTCAAAATTGCCTGATGACAAGAACTTGTACTGAATTTAGTGACTTCGGAACCATGGAAATCCATCCAAACACAGAAATATATAACTTATTCCACAAGACAGCATCCGACATGGAAATGCATCCAAACTAAAAAAAATAAATCCCCAGACAGCACCCCGCAAAAGTCATACTTGCCACTGCTGCTGCTTGTTGCTTAATGTTGCTACGATTCAAGTCAAGCTAGCTATGGCGATCCAACATTTTTATTCATTAGTTAATTACCCTCTCCAGAATCCTCACAGGGAAACCGCCCTTCATCTTGGTGGTCAGGTACGAGATGAACACAGGCTCAGCTCCTCCTTCCTGCGTTGCCGGCACCACCCTAAATTGGCGCAACACTCCAGCAACCACCCTCTGCATCTGCAAGAAAGCAAATTCCTTCCCGAGACAAATCCTGGGCCCAGCCTGAAATACAGGATAGTGATATGAATCTTTAGCCACGAATTTCCATTTTCCAGGGGACTGTGCATCCCTCTCCAGCCACCTCTCGGGCCGGAAGGATCCCCAATCCGACCCCCACTCGGCCTCCACTCTCCCCATTGCGTAGGGATGGTAGGTAACCCTGGTACCCTTCCTCACCACCGTCCCATCTGGCAAAACATCATCTTTTGCCGCTTCCTTGGTATCCGAAGGAACTGGCGGATACAGTCTCATGGTTTCGCAAAGTGAAGCATGAGTGTAAGTCATGTCTTTCACTTCATCGTACAAAGGAGATTCGGACTTCTCTCTGATCTCTCTCAGAATTCCCTTTTCGACCTCTGGGTGGCTGTAGACTAACCAGAAAAACCATGTCAATGCGGCAGATGTTGTGTCCCGACCAGCTAAGATAAAGCTTATCACGATATCGGTCACAAAAGTTTCATCCGAGTGACCCGAGCTCAAGAATCGGGACAACAGATCGCCTGATTCTAATTCTGAATTTTCTTTGAGTTCTTGCTTCTTTTCTTTGACGATCTCCTGAGCGAATTCCCGAACATGACGGACAGCTGAGCTGAGTTTCTTCTCTGCTCCAATATTCAACGCCCGTTTGATCTTCCAAATTAAAGGAAATGGCGAACTGAATCTGTCACTGCTAATCCGAGTTGCGTTTTCGAAAGCAACCGCAAACTCGGCCACAGGGAGAGATGGCAACAAATACTGAGGATCATACCCGAAAGCTATTTTGCAGATGTTATCAAATGCAAATCTCTGGAGTATGTCTTGAAAGTCCAGAACAGTTTTATCAGCAGCTGCCGCGGCGAGGATGGGAATGAGGCGTTGAGAGAGCTCGGTGTCTACCACGGTCTCGACATATTTACGGAGGGACTTGGTGTTGAATTCGTGACTGGACATCTGTCTTTGGAACTTCCATTTATCACCATCGGCATTGAAGATGCCATCACCTAGGAAGTCCGAGAGAGTTGCGCGGAAGATGTCCCCCTTCTCATAAACAGAAAAATGGGATTTGAGGATGTGTTGGACGGTGGCGGGGTTGGCAGTGTAGACCTGGCAATAGCCCAGAGGGCGGCGAAGGGTGAATGTCAAGTTGGGGGAGCTTCTCACAATGTCTGACGTCCATTGAATGAGGCGGTCCTTGTTTGCCAAAACTGAAAGGTATGAGCCGATTACTGGATATGATCTGGGGAGCTGCTCAGAGCTGGACTCCTTGCTGCTTCTGAAAGTAAATATGAAGCTGATGAGGAACAGCAGGAACAATGGAAGGAGGCAAAACAGAAGCCATGATGAAATCTCAATGTTCAACATTGTATATATATGTTCTAACTCTTTAAACCAACTAATGTGGATGATGGTTTGTTTATCTTCGTGTTTATATAGCTGCATTTGTACTCTTTACAGTCCCACGAATCATTGCCAGAATTGTTTAGTTTCACCTGGTTCCATTATTATGCTGGATTTCTTTAGTTTTATATTGGGTAAAGTCTTCACCACTCTCTCCCGGGGTCCCGCCTACGCTGCTTTCAGTGCCTATCCTCCCTGTTGTCGGGTCATTGCAGGCGTCAGTGCATATCCAATATGTCATGCAAATTAGCTTCGGTCTCATGTAAAGTAATTTATCCCTTGATCTTGGTGTTTGATCATTTTAATGGTAAACTGTGCATTTTCAAGCTTGATTAGGATTCTTACTATTCTTGTTAGTATGACAAAGTTATATAGTATTTACTTTGTAAACATGTAAATCATAGGACTAAGGGTGCGTTTGATAAAATTGAAGTTCGAAATTTAAAATCTGAAGTATGAATCCATTGAATTATTGAATTGTTAAGTATTAAATCTAATACATTTGAGTGTATATCACATTCAGTGATAAGTGAATTGCTTAATTATCACTTAATTTTGGGGGCAAGTTTTGCCTAGAAAATTTAGTACCATTTAATTAATTCATATGTTCAATTTTTTATTATCAAACGGTCTGAATATATTAAGATCTATATTTATTAAGTTTAAGTGCTAAACTGAATTATCAAACAGGATATAAAACTTGGCGAAAAGATTCAGCCCCGGGAATACAACAAAATGCCGTTCATCGGCAGTAGATATGGTAAGGCAAATTAATTAAGCAGTCCTATAAGAAATAATCTCAAACCCTAAATATTTGGAACAATTTCAGAATCACAACCGTTCAAATTATAACTTCTAATCAACGGAATATTTACCAAATTCCTTGTCTCACGGCAGAAGCATAATCACAAGTAGCATTTTTCTTTTACCCTGAGAAATTAGTCCTTACAGACTATTTAGTGTAAGAAAAATTAATCCATTCATAATTTTTTGGCAAGAATTAATTAGCAGTGTCGACTGTCGAGATATAATAATTAAGACGTTAACAATCTTGATACTCTGTATGATATCCATCCATTTATTGCTGGCGGCTGTAAGAATTGCAAATTAACAAACAGGAGAGTTTGGGAATCTTATTTTAAGCAACAAAAATGGTACGGTATGTTTTTTAAGTAGCGATGGATCATCAATGATCCAAAAATCTAAGAACCCATAATGATCGAAACTTGAAGCATTTGGGATTAAAAATATAAATTCAAGATTTTTTTACTGACACAAATTTGATGTTAACCGTTAGTTATTCTAAATTTGTCTAAAGCCACAGACTTTGGAGATTAGACTTGCTTGACCTAAATATTGGAGACTAATTGGGCACACGGGACTACTAACATTGGGAATCAAGATTACATTTCTCCCAAAGTAATTTATCCTCGAAACTTGAAACATTAGGGATTAAAAATGTAAATTTTTTTACTAAGACGAATTTCATGTTAACTGTTAGGTATGATGATTTTTCATTAATTAAGCTGAATCTGCCAAAAAAAAACACAAATTTTGGGGACTACATTTGCCTGACTGAAATATTGGGGACTAATTTGGCAAGTAGGCCGAACATTGAGAATCAGAATTACATTTCTCCCAAAGTAATTTATCCCTTGAGCTTGGAGTTTTGATAGTTTTAGTTGTAAATAGTGCTTTGTCAAGGTTGATTAAGTGCGAATCCGTACTATATGTGTAAAATTTGATGTTCAAATTCTAACTGAAATCATTACAAAACTTGAAGAATCAATCAGTAAAATTTGATGTTAAAATTCAAACGGACTTCACACCCTGCATGGTGCATGGCAGACAAATATCCATCCATTATTGCTGGCGGCTGAAAAATTATAAAGTAACAAATGGGAACAGCTTGGGGAATCTTTTTATTTTAAGTTAGAATTCAAGCAACAAAAATAATATGGGTATTATTTTAAGTAGTAATTTATGCAAAGCCCAAGTGTGGCCGCCACCAGCACAGCCGCCCTTAGCTCAACGGCTACTCATGCAAAGTATGGCCGTAAGTCAGCAGCGATACGTCATCAATGATCAACCTTTTCAACCAATCAGCCACCCTTGCATTTCCCTACTTACGCACTACTACAATTTTATATAATACGTCCCATTATTTAGTCATATTTGGTGAATCCAACATTTAAAAATAGTGATTTGATTGTAATATTTGTATTTTTTTAAAATTTTATTTCTATAATTTCAAATTTTGAATTTGAATGGTAGTATGCATGTAATTAGAAAGAACGATTATATTAGAAAGAGAGATTAAAAGACGTTTTGACTTTTTAAGCATGACAAATATTTTAGAACATTCCAAAATAGAAAGCATGACACTTTTAATGGGACAGAGGAAGTATATAGAAGTACTAAGCACCAAATCATGAGGAGGAGCTTTCATATATGCCTTTGAGCAGACTTCAATAATATATCTACATTTACACACACATATATATATATATATGCACGTATGCACAGAACTGGAATGCACTACTAGCATCATAGTATTATTAAGGGTAAATTACATGTAATCTTTCTGTGGTTTCGTCAATTGCTATATGACCTCCCTAATGTTTCAAAATATTCAATTCACCCCTTACGGTTTTGTGTAAAGTGAAACTTGATGGAAAATGGCCTATGTAATGTCATTAGTTAAAATATCAATAGTGCCCTTACTCAAATGTAAAAATTACATGAGGTAAAATGCATATTTATACAAATTATAAGGGGATTATGTGGATATTAATATTTTACCACAAGCGCTTTTAAAGTATATCTGGTATAAACGACGTAACTGATTGCGCACGTCTATTTTCCACTTTACATAAAATCATAAGGGGTTATGAGGTTATTTTAAAACTTTTAGGGGATCATCTGGCATTAGGTAAAACTACATGGAGGTAAATAGTAATTTACCCTATTATTAATCAATCTCTTTCTACCCTTCCGTTCTGCCCTCTCCAGAACGAAATATAGACTATATGACATCAAGGGCACAAAGCAAACAAACATTGTTGTAGAATTTCATGCGCATAGGGAAAGCAACAGTTGGGGCTTCTCAGAATTGAATGGAGAAACCAACCAGCAGAGCGTGTTCGAATCAGCCCCACTTCAAAACAAACATTTGGAAACCGCACTTTTTTTTTTCCGGAAACGATAGGAATTTCTATTTCTACTAATAGAGAAATACAATGTATGAGCAAGGGCTCAACTTGTCCTTTACAAAAGTGTACTAAGACACTGAGGATAAAATAACTCCTCATCAAAGAGTATATGCATTGCTTTCTTACTCAGTTTATAACTGAGTGTATTAGTACTATCATTACTAGACTGACTATCAAATGAGCATGTCCTAAACATTGAGCTAAGATCGGCTATGCATTCTAGGTGGGCTGCTATACGAATGTTACTTGGGACTTGCCGGTGCATGAGCTTTAAAATCTGATTGCATGGTATCTAAAGCTTTATGTCCGGCCATCCTCGTTCCTTTAGCTTGCAAAGTACCAATTGTATAGCCACCAAATTGTCCAAAACAACTGATCCAGTGCTTCTTTCTTTTAGCATCCACGCTGCACATATCTGGTTCATGACATTTGCCGCTGTGATGCCAATTCCCATATTCTGTCCTTCAATGTGTTGTCCCACATCTACTCGAATGATCAGCAAGTTTGCATCTGGTCCCACCTCTGCGTCTTGTTCATCTGCTGTATCTGTTTCTGATATGCTCATCTGTTGTTCAGCCTGTTGGGATTGATGGTACTCCTCCCATTCCTTAACTGCCTTTGTAACTACTTCCATCGGATGCCTTTGTTTGTCTTCAAATTATGGTTCATTCCTGGCTTTCCAAATCTGCCAGAGGATGCCGACTGTTAACGCTATGTGTTGCATTCCTTCCTTCCTGGCCTTTACTTCCATTAAACTACCCCACCAATTCCTGAAGTCGTTGGTGAACTCATTCAATTCATCCCATTGTAGTGGAGCCATCTTCCATACCATCCTTGCCTTTGTGCAGTGGAAGAAAATGTGCTCCACTGTGTGACAGCCCCACCTTCCCCTAAGGCGAACCAAAGGGCTCGGCGGACCGCCTGCCCAACTCTTACCGGGACTCACTATAGTTCTCAAATAAAATACATCACTCACATCCAATAACATAGGGTACAACCTCAAGAATAAACGAAATAACATTTTTCAAACTTAGAACGAGATAAGATACATTACAAATCTCAAGTAAGGGTATCATTCCCCGAATAAAACAAAAGTTCTCAGTTCTCAAATAATTACATCAAATACTTATCAAGTGAATCGAATTCAAATTATATATGAGATATCCCTTCAGGTACTAATAACTCAATACAAGCGCTTTCTTTGGCCTCGAGCCCTGTGGGGAAAAATTATTTTTGGGGGTCACTAATTAAGCCTCAGAACTTCCACTTCCAAACCTGTTAAGGAAAACAAATTGGGGTGAGCTAACGCTCAGTGAGGCCAAGGGAAAAACGTGCAAGCATGCGAGCAAAGACACAATATAAAGCAATAACTCAAGTAACAAGTAATTGCGAAACATTAAGCAAGTAGGGAATTTGATCACAATAAAAGGATACGGGAGCTCTCAGGAGCTAATCCACGCGTGATCCAAGCTCAGGTAGTTGACCCTCCGACAACTTTCACAGTTATCCATGTAGAACTCCACTTACTACCCCCAGCCACCATGACACCCTCTTGGATCCATAACCAAACAAGCATGTAGGTGGTATCACTTAACAAGTATACCTAGCCAGACCCCTTATTTGGATCAAGCTATAACACTTCCCAAGGTTCACCAAGTTTCTCGATCAAGCCCTTGCCGGCTCGAGTTACAAGGCTAGCCAATGGGTTGGGGCGTCCCCCCCATTCACTTTTAGGTCGATGAGACAAAGCTCCAATCGACAAGATTTGGTCATAGCATTGAGACGGGATGAGCGGTACCTCCTACCCTAAAAGGGCATGATACATTCTGCCGCTCAATACTCACGAAAAACACTTTCATTTGCATTCACATGTAACATGTATTACTTATCAAGCAAGTAATTTCATGAAAGAGAGGACAGGGACGATAAAGTACGCCCTAGCCTCATTAACTAGAAAGTACAAGAATCATTTCATTTAAACACTTCACATGCACTTGATACTCACCAAGTATCAAAAGTCAAAGTTTGAGAAATTAGCTCTAAGACGCTTCGCCGGGAGTTCCCTCGAAGTCCTCTTGAGATCCTGAAAGTATGCAATAATGCATTGTATCTCAAATTCCAGGCCATACAGTATTCGTGTAAAGAAAAGAAATAGTCAATTTTGACTCCAAAATTCAAGTTTCCAAAGTATTTCAGTTCATAAGGAACCGACTTTCAAATGAGGTCTCAAGTGATAGGTGAACTCAAGTTCACCATGAAAATAGGTTTGAAATGCTCTAAGAGTTCTAAAAATGTAACCTAGGCCCTTAAAAGAACATTTAGGTCCAAATTGAAAATTTTCACTTTTCGAGTCATTCTTGGAAATATCAGTCCGAAAGTTCGGAAAGTCTAAAAATGGAAAATTTTACACCGTCAAAAACTTCATTCGAAGCATAACAACTTTGTAGAAGGTCACTTTTCAAGAATCAAATCAGAAACAAGTCAATTTCTCCAAGAAAGTTTACTATTCGTTGAAGATAGGTCAAAACAGTCCAAGTTTTTCCAATAATTTTGGAATTTCGTTAAAAATCATAGAATCAAAACCAGCCTTTGAAATTTGATATGCATGTAAAGTACCAATCCATGTTTCAAATGAAAAAAACGGAACTCGATTTCGATGTTCCTAGCTCAAGAAATAAAAAGTTGAAGTTCGCTAAAATTCCTGGACTGTTGGCCTTTCCAGAAATTTTCCAGATTTAATGCACTTCGCTAATTAGGCCGTATCCTACTCGATTCTCGGTGATATTGAAAAAAGTTGGTGGTGTTAGAAACTAGGTTCACAAGGATATATTTATGTAGAAGAAATCATTTCCAAAATCCAGACATAAGCTGTTCAAAATCAAGCAACAAAATGGATTTTCTGGACAGCCTCGGATGAACAGTAATAAACAGACAGCCAACTTTCAAAACTCGCCACGAATCGCTCGGGACGAACTAGAAAATGAGCTTGGTACCGTTTTAAAGCTCTAAGAGTCTACTTTCAAATGCCATAAATGTCACTCAATTTCGATCAACGAGCAAAACGTTATAGCTACACAAATGTTGCTGGTCAGAAAATTCTGGAGCTTGTTCCAGTTTTGCTTCTTTACTTGTAACTCAAAATTTAACCAACCATTTGGGTTGATTTTTGGTAGACAACCACAATACACATAGCACAACATATCTACACCAATTTGGAAGCTCAATTAACACCAGAAAATTTTCGAAATTACAGGGCAGCAGCAAACAAGAAAGTCGGGCAGCAAGTCAGAAATTTCAGACAGTACCTTTTCCAAATTTCTAACTTTCTTCCAACTTCATTCCATCAATCATTCTATATACATGCAACATAGCACAATATCAGCAACCACAACATGTTAATTCATCACATCAGCCACCAATAAACATCCTCAAACCCTCGAGCATGTCATGGAATTGCAAGAACATAATTACTCAACCAATCAACCCAAATTCTACCATAGGTTGCAAACCCATGCAACCTTTGCTCCATTTGAGCTATAATTTTGCAAGATTGAAGTGTGGGTGAGTGAGTTACCTCAAGAACTTAGTTGGACAGCTTTAGGGCAGAAATCTTGACCGAAATTCCTCCAAGAAAACCGATGAACAGCCCCCTCTTCCAAGCTAGGATCAAAGCCCTCTAATGGATGATGAAATTTGGAAGTGGATTGAAGTAATTTTGTAAGGATTTTGGCTAGATTTTTCTTCCCTTTTCTTCTTCCTATTTTCGGCCAAACAGAGAGAGTGAAGAGAGGCGAGAGAGTGAAATTAGATTTTGTAATGAAAGTGGAGAGAATTGGCGACTTAATGGTTAAGTCTAAGTGTCAACTCATGCTAGGTCCGTTTAGGGTCTTCGCGTGTCCAATTTTCGCGCTCGTTTGCAACTTTTGTGCACTAAACCTTTGAGATAATTTCCCTAGTACATTAATAGTACATTACTAGTAGTCTAATATCATGTTCTTAAAATCTCCAATTAATCAAATTAATGTGCCTATCGGGGCCTTTTAGGCACGCGCGCGTATAAAGGTCAAACTTAAGGGTTTTCTCGTTTGAACTTGAAAATTCAACTTATTCGATTCTAAAACTCTAAAATATGATAATCCAAGTATATATATATAACAATAAAAAAATCACGATAAGCAATTCATCTTGAATAAATTTGGGCATTAAAATAATATGCGCGTAAAGAACCAATCAGTAAAATTTATTTTCGAGAAATTCATTTACTTTAGTATTTTTTTTTTTTTGGTAACTCAAGTACGAAATATTTTTAAAAATGACCAATTTAACAATATTTTGAAATAATAAAATTATGGGTCCTCACACACTGTCTCACTGGTTTCACCACATTGCCTACAAAAAGTGTCCCCTTTTCCTGTTCTCCTAAATATTGCGTTTCTTCCTGGTAATACTTGGTGCAGACTCTTCCATAAAAACAGCTTGTGCTTGTGCTTTATTCTGAGTTTCCATAGCTATTTTCAGATTTTGTCACTTCCTCCTGTCCAGCTTGTTTCCCCCTTTCTGCTCTGTTGAGGTTTGGCATGCCTATGTTCACGTACTAGAGCTTCATATGCAGACCTGACCGTGTACTGTCCAATATTGCTATAATGCCAGAAGTAACAATCAGGTCTACCTGCTAGACTTGTAGGCGTTTTGAGAATGTGCCCAGCTTCGTGTGTGCTAAAGATCTTAAAAATGAGTGTTGATTTCCATCTAAAGTTTGATATCAGTTCACTCACTTTTGGAAACCGCACTTGATCAGGACTTTTCCGCATTTACATATTGCCCGATTTTTTTGGGAGGCAACTAAAACCATATACACAGTTGAAAAAAAAAATTAAGATCAAATATTTCCAAATTCTTTTTACGTAGGTCCCAATTACAAAATTGTCTAAGATCAAAGACTTGATTGGCTAATGCTACCTTAGACAAGATAATTCATAGAGGATTTTGTGACGCCTATTATTGACTTTGTGTGCTGTGATTCAAAAAATAATAATAATAATAATAAAATCATCTATAAACCATATCCAACCAAAATAGCCCTGAAGCCTCGACACTTTTGTGAGCATAGTATGGACCTCATAATACAACATGCAATCCAAAGCTAAAATTTAGGGATAATTTCAGAAACCTTCCCCGAGGTTTCGTGAAATATCACTTAACTCTATTGAGGTTTTCAAAATCTCATTTAGCGCCTCTCGAATTGACATTTGGGTAACATTGTCAACCCTCCTAACCAAAAATAATACTAGAAAATTCATGTTTGAGGAGAGAGAGTATTTTAGTGCCCTTAATACCCTTAGGCTATAAAAAAAATGAACAAAGTACTAAATTGGAACCATCTTAAAAGTAAGGAGATGAAAGTTGATAAGGATATTACAACGAATAATCACTTCTATAGCAAAGAGAAATAGTAATAGCAAATACTGTTTTTAAACCATTTTTACAAATAAAACCCTCCGTATTGTTGAAGGCAATTAGCATGTAAAAATCATACATTTGAGCAAAGAAACTCAATAATAGATGAAATTCAACTTCAATATCATATAGAGAATTTACTCAAAATAGATTGACTTTTTCATAGGTGTGAAATATGAAAATTTTATTATAAAAATAAAAAATCAAAATTTGAAAAATTGCAGTTCGAAGTTTCAATTACTTCATTTCTCTAACGCTCTACATGAATAGGAACAAATAAATAAATAAATAAACATAGTTGTGAAACACAAAAAAAAATAATAATAAAAAAGAACCTGCAACTATCCTTCTCTAAATGCGTTGAATATTACATTGATTAAATCATATATTTCATTGACATTTGCAATTCAATTATATGTGTGTGTGTGTGTGTGTGTGAATGTATGTACGTATAGACATTGCTAAAGAAAAGCAAGAAATTTAGACAAAGAAAAAAAGTTTAGAAAATTTAAATATGATGGTATTATTGACAATTTTTCACCTTTGATATTAGCATATGGTCCCATTTAGGGCTACAAACGAATCGACTCGCCTGCGAGTAGATCGAGTCCGAGCTCGAACTGATCAAGTCAAATTCGAACTTAAACCCAAACTCAAAGATATTCAGCTTGTTAGCTCGTGAGCTGACTCGATTATATATATAGTTTTTATTTTTTATTTTAATAATAAAATTACATATATATCCCTAATATTTTTATTATTTATTAAAAAATATTTTTTTATTTTTTAAAAATAAAATTTTTTTTTAAGATCGGACTCGAGCTCGAGCTTGACAAATCGAGCTCGAGTTTTACATTTTGAGTTTGTCAAGCTCGAGTTCGAGCTCAAACTTCATAAAACTAAGTTGAAGCTCGACTCGACTAGATCAAAATTGGACTCAACTCGACTCGTTTGCACCCCTAGTCCTACTATCACTTCAAGGGTGCTAAATGAGATTTTGAAAAGTTCAGGGAGCTCGAGCTTCATAAAACTAAGTTGAAGCTCGACTCGACTAGATCAAAATTGAACTTAACTCGACTCGTTTGCACCCCTAGTCCTACTATCACTTCAAGGGTGCTAAATGAGATTTTGAAAAGTTCAGGAAAGCTAGGTGATATTTCATGAAACCTCAGGGGAGGTTTCTGAAATTATCCCTAAATTTAACTCGACATGAGATGAAATTCGATGAAAGTTGAAAGTTGCTATTGCTCAGCTGCCTCCTGTATCAGCTGGCCATGGACTGCGACAACCATGAGCTTTCCACCACCATCAAAAGACAGGTTTGACATCTATCTGTCTGGTTTCGAGTCATTATTCTTCTTGTCTTATACAACCCTTTTGTCTAATACAATTAAGGAGCTGAGTAGCATGGCTGAATGCATTATTTTTTGTTCTTGTCATTGGTCGGTAGGCGCCAAAATTAAGTATCCAAATGCAATCCTAGTTGATCAAAAAGCTCTTGTAGATAATTACAAACTCTATTCTGATTTGGGTGTAAAGTTTTAATCCTTTCTTTCTCAGTTTCCCCAATGCATATGGCCCTTTCTGAATCACCATCTAGATTAGGACAATCTGTGAAGTAGAGATTCTGCATGTTAACTAAAGTTTCGATCTTTAATCTTCTTATATTGTTGTTGTATTAGTTGGTGCATGTGAAGAAACACGATTCAGTGGCGTATGAAATAAATAGTTTGCCAGATGATATCCTGATTGCCATTCTGTCCTGTTTGAATATCAATGAAGCAGTAGGGACCAGCGTCCTTTTCCCGTAGGTGGAGATATTTATGGCGCTTTATATCTGGCACTCTTGAATTTGATCTTGACTACTGGAATGCCGAATGTACTGCTTGTTAAGATAAAAGCCGTAGATCAATTTATTGTGCACTGTCATGGAATGGGTTATGATAGCAATCCTCCTTCCCGTATGTGTAATTGGTTTCGTTTTGCAATGCGAAAGGATGTTAAAGTTTTTGCATTGAAGGCTTCTTTGCAAGATTTCCCGAACCTGGACAAGTTTTTGTCGGCTGCAAGAGCAGTGAAGAAGCCCAAGGATGTTGGTGTTTTTGCCTCATCAACATCCTTCGCCTTGTCGGAAGTTGTTATTGAGAGAATGAGATGGTCGAGTATCTTTCATCTAAATGTCCATGTCTTGAACATCTATCAATAGATTATGTCCCTTCTGTAAAGGACTTGAATATTGTTGGTGGTCCATCCCTGAAGTATCTGGACATATCCTATTGTTCAGGATTGAAAAGGTTGAGGGTTTCTGCTACAAATCTTCACTGCTTGTGCATGGCGACTCATGGAGGAAAAAGCCGGTGGTTCTTGACTTTCAGGATGTTCCCCTCTTATCGGAGGTTAAGTTGACAAGAGAGCAGTGTAGAATTTTCCTATATGAACCTCACAGATATTCAAGATGTTTGAATCGATTGGAGAAACTTCACTTGTTGGTGCCAAATGGGGTTAGAATTAAATAACCTTCGAGCTATCCATTTTCTGTTGTTTATGAGGTTTATCAATATTGAGAATTGTCGTTAACCACTCAATTTTTCATCTTTTTTTTTTAAGGTAGCTTCTGGAGCAAGTGATTTTGCTCGTGCTTCTTTTGGATTCCTTGGTTGCAATGTCTCAAGCAAATGGAATTGGTGCTTCACACTACTCCTGGTGGAAGTCTTCTGTTCTTTGTCTTGTTCATTGCAGAATGCCCTTTCTTGTTGGAACTCGTTGTTCGGGTAACTAGTTATTTTAAAAGCAGGATAGTTTGCCATGGAACAACTGCGGAAAACTTGCATTGGAAATTTCAATTGACTTGTACATTTTTTTAGTTGTTTTTTTTTTTTAACCCCAATTGTGCGAGACTGTGGGGTTGGTACTTTTGTCTTCCTAGCTAATGCTCTAATATGAAAAAAAAAAGAAAAGAAAAGAAAAAGGTGAGCACCATCACATTCTATGGTACTCTAACCAATTATACCAAGTCAGGATCAAGGAAAAATGCAACTGTTGTGAATGGAAATGTAGAGATCCATAGGCAAGCTGATGCCGCAGCTCATGTAAATGACAGTG